GAGGATAGGGTCATAATTCAAAATGATCTGGACAAATTGGAGAAATAGTCTGAGATAAACAGGATGAAGTTTAATAAAGACAAATGCAAAGTGCTCCACTTAGGAAGGAACAATCAGTTTCACACATACAGAATGGGAAGCGACTGTCTAGGAAGGAGTACGGCAGAAAGGGATCTAGCAGTGATAGTGGACCACAAGTTAAATATGAGTCAGCAGTGTGATGCTGTGGCAAAAAAAGCAAATATGATTCTGGGATGCATTAACAGGTGTGTTGTGAGCAAGACACGAGAAGTCATTCTTCCACTCTACTCTGCGCTGGTTAGGCCTCAGTTGGAGTCTTGTGTCCAGTTCTGGGCACCTCATTTCATGAAAGATGTGGAGAAATTGGAGAGGGTCCAGAGAAGAGCAACAAGAATAATTAAAGGTCTAGAGAACATGAGCTATGAGGGAAGGCTGAAGGAATTGGGCTTGTTTAGTTTAGAAAAGAGAAGACTGAGGGGGGACATGATAGCAGCTTTCAGGTATCTAAAAGGGTGTCATAAGGAGGAGGGAGAAAACTTGTTCATCTTGGCCTCTGAGGATAGAACAAGCAGCAATGGGCTTAAACTGCAGCAAGGGAGGTTGAGGTTGGACATTAGGAAAAAGTTCCTAACAGTCAGGGTGGTCAAACACTGGAATAAATTGCCCAGGGAGGTTGTGGAATCCCCATCTCTGGAGAGATTTAAGAGCAGGTTAGATAAATGTCTCTCAGGGATGGTCTAGACAGTATTTGGTTCTACAATGAGGGCAGGGGACTGGACTCGATGACCTCTCGAGATCCCTTCCAGTCCTAGTATTCTATGAAAAGCTTCTAGGTTAATGCTGCAGACTACAGCCATTTCTCCCCTCACCAACCAGTACATTTTTCAGCAGCCTGACTCAGTTCTGGCGTGAGCCGGGTCTGGGACCTTCCCCTGCTGCAGCTCTGCATGGAGGAATTGCAATGCCCCCTTATTGCGCACTTTGCCGTGGGCATGTGACCCTCTACTGCCCCGTTGTAGTAAGTAACGGTATTAAAACCCCTGGAAAAGAATGGATTCCGATTGGGTAATCCATAGTCAAACATGCAAATGAGGCATCACGTCATTTGATTAATTCCTCCAGGATCCCTAGAGCCCAATGTTTTCATACGTATGCTATAGATCATGGCAGTTGTCGTTGGTGGTAGGGGAACGTCAGAGTTAACCTATGGAACTGTCTGCCACTGGATTGCCAATATTTCTGGACCTCTCTGTGTCTCTCTCTTTAGGAGCATTCGGAGGCCAGCTGCCCCGCCTGGGAGAGGGAACCCATCATGTCAGCCCTGCCCAGATTTGGGGTCCTCATCCCCCTTCTCCTCTTCAACTTCTCTGGGACTTCCTCCCATTGTCACACGGGCACAGTCAATGAATGCAAGCACCACACAGGCTTTGTGCCCGGGCATGGCCTGGTTGGTGCGGGCATCGATGTAACCAGGATGGCCAGGACGGCGGCCAGTGTGGTGGACAGCAGCGCCTGGCAGCAGTCAGATGAAACATGCACGCTGTGCCGGAACCCCCTGCTGGGTGAGCAGTTGCAGAGCGGGCCCATGACTTGTGCCGCAAGAAACTCCAAAGCTCGGTGCAGTCGTCGGCGATGGGCATGCTGCAGTCGGCGGCGTCCGCGGTGCAGAACGACTGGACAGAAGATCTGGACGTGCCTGCGAAGCCCAAGGGTAACGTCCAAATGGCGCTGGCCGGATCGCACTCCAAACTGGCGAAATTCCTGGAGGAGCACGCGCGGATGGACAAATACAGCTTCCTGAGCCACGAGGTCTCCTGCGGCTATTACCAGTGAGTGCTGGGCAGGGTCGGGAGGGCTCAGCTGGAACGGGGGTCACAGCAACAGCACAGTGCCTGGGACGTTCCCTTGTAGGCAGTGCTGGCTTCAATCCAGGGCCAGGGCTGGAGGATGGGGGAGATGAGGTCTTTCCTCTCTAGGCGGCACCACCTCTCCAGGATTGGATAAATATGGGAGTGGGAGAAGTCTGTCAGGACTGGCAATGTCCCCAGCAAGGCTGTGAGATGCAGCAGGCTAGGGAATCTACTCCGAGCAGGAGCCACCTACTCCGACTTTGCTCATGGGTTGGGTGAGGCTGTAGGATGTACAGATAAAGATATCAGGGGACCGGCCACGCTGAGCTCATTCCACACCTTGTGTCTCTGGGCAGGTTCCGGGTCAGCGAGACGCCCCCGCTCACCAGCCATTTCACTCGGGCGCTGAAGAACCTCCCGGAGCAGTACGACAGCAATTCCAAGCTGGAGTACCAGCAACTCATCAGCTACTACGGCACCCACTACGTGTCCCAGGGGGACCTGGGGGGCCGGGTGCGGGATGTGACAGCCGTACCGGTCTGTGACGCAGCGCTGAGCGGCTTGACAGACGACGAGATCAAGGACTGTTTGAACGCCGAGGCGGCTGTGAGTGTCAGAAAGGGCTCGACCAAGGGTGGGTACAGCAGATGCGAGGAGGCGAAGAAGAAGGGGACCGTTCAGGAGAGCTTCCACGAGACGTATCAGGAGCGCCACGTGGCGGTGGAGGGAGGACACAGCACAACCGACGTCCTCTTCTCCGGGAAGGACGCCAAAGTCTTCTCAGCATGGGAGGAGAGCCTCAAAGCCAGCCCTGGCCTGGTGTCCTATTCCCTGCAGCCCATCCACAGCCTGGTGGAGCAGGACGACCCCAAGCGGGAAGAGCTGAGTCGGGCGGTGAGTGAGTACATCACTAAAAGGGCCCTATGGAGGAATTGCACCCAGAGCTGTCCCCCAGGGACCGAGCGCAGCGCCCACGACCCCTGCTCCTGTGTCTGCCCTGGGGATGTGGTGACCAACACCATGTGCTGCTCGCGGGAACGTGGCCTAGGGAAGCTGATCGTGACTGTGCAGAAAGCCAGTGGCCTCTGGGGGGACTACAGTTCTGCTACGGATGCTTTTGTCAAGGTCTTCTTTGAGGGCAAGGAGGTCCGGACCAACACCATCTGGAACAACGACAATCCCACCTGGAAGAATGCCAATTTGGACTTCGGCACCGTCCGCCTCACCAGCACCAGCAAGATCCGCGTGCAGGTCTGGGACGAGGACAACAAGTTCGATGATGACAAGCTGGGAAACTGCGACATCCCGCTGGAGTCTGGGGGGCCCCACCAGAAGGATTGCTACATGAACCACGGCCGTGTCTGGTTCCAGTACAGCCTGCGCTGTGGGCCCCACCTCGGGGGTCAGGGCTGCTCTGACTATGTCTCCCAGCCCCCCCGGCAGAGCACAGCCCAGGGGAAGGAGGCAAAGGCCTTCTGGTGAGCCCCTTAGCTAAGGGATCGGAGAGGGGGCTGGGTGTGCACTGGTCAATTGCGCATCTTGTCCGACCATTTCCTGGCTCCCGCTCTGCTGATCCTGCTCTTCATGCTGTCGCTCCTGCTTGGGATTCGGCGTGTCCTGTGCCTGTAAGAGACTGTCTGCTCCCGTGAGCCCCTCATCCTCACAGCTCCCTCTGGGGAAACACCCCATCGCAATCCGCCCATTCCGCATCCATCCAACTACTGCGTCCAGTGATCTACTGTGTTCATCTAACCAATAAGCCCAAGTATTTGCCTCCAGAATTCAACCTATCCTCACCCTCCTCTAATCTACAGCCTGTCAATCACACAATGGGTGCATTTAGTTTACCCAAGGTATGCAACCAAGAAACCACCAACTGAATTTAGTGCTTCCAATCTTCCCGTCCAAGCTACCGATCAAAGAACGAATTTGGTGCGTCCATCATATCCACCAACCAGTGCCTGTATCTAGTGCATCCAATGCATACAACAAACCAACCAATGAATCTATCCAGTGCAACCAAACCTGAAACGAAGGTATCTACAGCATCCCATTTAAAAGGCCAGCTAGCCAGCCAACCAATGAATGTGTTTGGTGCATACAAAATATCTAGCCAGGCAATCAACCAAAATGTTGAGTGGCTCCAATGTAACCAGCCAACCATGAGGTTTATTTAGCCTATCCAGCCTACCTGCCTACCAATGTCTCCAAGGCATCTGTCCAGCCAACTAACCAGACTAACCAGTCTGTGTATCCCATGCATCTATTCTCAACCTGTTTAGCATCGTTGGCTGTATATGGAGCTCTCTGTCTATTATGTGATCCACATCCACACTATATCTATACTGACTGTGTGGCCACCAAGATGTCACTTGAGATTGTGGTGAGTGGGCCGCGAGAGGGCTATGGGTTGATAATCACTGATGTAGTGCACCCAGTGTCACTAACCAGTCACACAACTAAGATCTTAGGTACATCCAGCCAACAAACCCACCAACCAACCAACCAATTGAAACAGCCAACCAATGAATGTCCTAACTACCTACAACCAACCCATCAACCAATATGTACAGGCTGCACAACCAATCCGGCATCCCAAGTATCCATCTGCCCAATGAACTCATCTATCTGGTGTGTCTCCTTGAAAGCGATGGCCTCTCCAGGAAAGGAAAAGGAACAAAGCTCAGTTCTGTCATAGGCTCTACTAATTAACCCCCTGTAAAAATCTGAGGCTGCTCCAGGGATGGGCGTGGTTCTAAACACCTAGCAAATGGGCTGAGTTCCTGGAAGGAGGATTCCTTAGGGAGCTGGTGTGCAACTGTTGAATCTCTTGTTTTCCACATTTAACCAGCTACTTTGGGGTTCGTTATGGCATCATGAGTGCACAGGCCTCGCCAAACCTCCAGCTGGATGCTCTCTGCACCCATGGTAAACAAGGAGGATGACATATGACTAGCCATCAATAGGATTCAGAGTGAACACACAGGAGAACATTCCAGAGGGTATTGGTTCAGACTGTCAGCAGGCTCAGGGAGATGGCATTGCATTGGGGTCCGCACTGGCAAGGGCAAATTCCCCCTAATTTGGTGATTAAAGCCTTTTCCTCATTCATCCTCACCTGCATCCACTGAGAGCCTAGATCAATAGCTCTGTGATGCCCCTCACTGAGGAAGGGGGGTTGTTCACTCTGAACCCTAGTGTTGGCAAGTGAAATAACTCCAGCCTGGAAAAATGCTATGCAGCTTTGCAGCTCGACTGCAAAACGATTTCCTTCTGGGAGGATTCCAGGTTTCTGAGCTTTGGAAATATATCTCCCTGCTTTAATAAATATTTGTGAAAGCATATTTCTAAGGATGAAGCCTTGACTTTCTTCTGGCCGGAGTTGGATGGACCTCAATGAAGAGTAGAAATGAGCGGCTACAGTGCCCACTTGAGAATAGTAGGGGAGCTCTGGGCTGGAGGGGAGTGAGGCATGGCAAGACAGGGATGCTAGCGAGAGAAATAAATTTGCTGCAACGGGGAATCCAGTGTAAGGTGGCTAATGCTGGTCAGTGTGACTTCTATTGGGGACAGAGTGAGGTGGGTGGCTGGGTAAGAGATACAAGAAGATGGGCAGTGTTATTAGGGGCATTAATATCCCACAGCTGAGAAATGCAAGATATTGCTGTTGCCAAAGGATCCAGGAGGGGACACGAGGAATTTTTCTTTGAAGTGGGGCTCAGCTCTGATTTGGCCCTCGGGCAGGGGGACTGGCTGTCTGGGAGGCTAGAGATGGGGGATGGATGATTGCGCTGCCATGTGGGTGAGATGTGTCCATCTTGCTACCACAAAAGGGGGGACCTCAATGAATTTCAATATTGACATCCAGTTTCATTCCTTAGCACCGGTGACAAATTCATGGCAAAGTCCATCTTTTCCGTGAAGGAGGTCCCGGCTGGCAGACGTGGTCCACCCCATCCAGATTGATATCACCCTGGGCTGCTCCATCTGCAACAGCTTGTATTTTGTCCAGGACCTCTTGAAACTTGGGTTAAGGAATGGTCAGTTTAGGGAAAAAGAAAATACCGGACATTTCACATGGCTGCTCAGACCAGCCGAGATCAGGTCCCCATCACGCCGGGCACTGCTCAGACCATGGCCGAGATCAGGTCCCCATCGCGCCGGGCACTGCTCAGACCCCGGCCGAGATCAGGGCCCATCACGCCGGGCACCATCCTTTTGATTTTTGAGAAACCCTCATGCCCCCTCTCCTAAAAAATAGCAGCAAAACTTGGGGTGGGATTGACGGGGGAGTGTGGGGCTGGGTTGCCTCGCCCCCGCCCCCTCGGAATTTCTTCATGCCCCCCAGTTTGGGAACCCATGCACTAAGCGGCTGTAACAAAAGCCATTCATGTTTCCTAAATCACACCCTTTTCCTAAATTTCATAACCATCACAAAATTCTAAGAGTCAATTTGCATTGCCATCAGCATTTGCACACCTTTGTGTAAAATGTGAGCACATATTTGAGATGGAGAACATTTAAGCTACCGTGACCCATAGCCAGAAAGCATCCTGCAGAGCTAAATGACCCAAATTGAACCTTTAGGGACATACTGGTAGATAATGTTTGTGATTTTTATCTGTTTACATGTATATTGTTAGAGATAACAATGTAACCATATGGTTCCCATCTATACTGTATTCATCGCTCTTTGAAGCATACAACAAATCACTTAGAATGGTGGTAAATGGGCAAATGTCTTATGTTAATCTGTAGCTAAGTACTGGTGGTGATTAGGAAGCAAGTTTATTTCAGAACCTCAGTAACTGCATATTGCTTGCCTAAGGATTCCAACCATTCAGGAGGAGGCCTGGAACTGTATAAAAACCCAGTGAGTCCTGATCCTTTTCAACTCAGATCTCCCGGATGCTTTCGTAAGACTGAGATCTCCAGTCCTACCTAAACTGGATTCACTCTTAATATGGACATTGGGCTATAATCTATGAGCTAATTTTGAAAGAACTCTTTGCAACTACAGAGCTCTCCATTTGTACTGTCAATCTGATATTAGAACTGTACTTATGTCTGTATTTAT